TGTGAATGGTAACAGGCTACTCTAGATGTGAATGGTATAAGCCCAACCTAGATGTGAATGGTATCAGGCCACTCTAGATGTGAAAGGTATCAGCCCACTCTAGATGTGAATGGTACCAGGCCGCTCCAGATGTGAATTGTATCAGGCCACTCTAGATGTGAATGGTATCAGGCCAATCTAGATGTGAATGGTATCAGGCCACTCTAGATGTGAATGGTATCAGGCTACTCTAGATGTGAATGGTATAAGGCCAACCTACATGTGAATGGTATCAGGCCACTCTAGATGTGAAAGGTATCAGGCCTCTCTAGATGTGAATGATACCAGGCCAATCCAGATGTGAATTGTATCAGGCCACTCTAGATGTGAATGGTATCAGGCCACTCCAGATGTGAATTGTATCAGGCTAATCTAGATGTGAATGGTATCAGGCCACTCTAGATGTGAATGGTATCAGGCTACTCTAGATGTGAATGGTATCAGGCTACTCTAGATGTGAATGGTATCAGGCCACTCCAGATATGAACTGTATCAGGATATTCTAGATGCGAATGGTATCAGACTGTTCTAGATGTGAAAGGTATCAGACAACTCTAGATGTGAAAGGTATCAGACCACTCTAGATGTGAATGGTATATGGCCACTCTAGATGTGAATGATATCAGGCCACTCTAGATGTGAAAGATATCAGGCCACTCTAGATGTGAATGGTATCAGGCCACTCCAGATGTGAATGGTATCAGGCTATTCTAGATGTGAATTGTATCAGGCTATTCTAGATGTGAATGGTATCAGGCCACTCTAGATGTGAATGGTATCAGGACACTCTAGATATAAATGGTATATGGCCACTCTAGATGTGAAAGATATCAGGCTACTCCAGATGTGAATGACACAGGCCACTCTAGATTTGAATGAAACAGGCCACCCTAGATGTGAATGATATCAGGCCACTCTAGATGTGAAAGATATCAGGCTACTCTAGATGTTAATGACACAGGCCACTCTAGATGTGAATGACACAGGCCGCTCTAGATGTGAATGATATCAGGTAAGTCTAGATGTGAATGGTATCAGGCTACTCTAGATGTGAATGGTATCAGGCCAGTCTAGATGTGAATGGTATCAGGCTACTCTAGATGTGAATGGTATCAGGCTACTCTAGATGTGAATGGTATAAGCCCAACCTAGATGTGAATGGTATCAGGCCACTCCAGATGTGAAAGGTATCAGGCCAGTCTAGATGTGAATGGTACCAGGCCGCTCCAGATGTGAATTGTATCAGGCCACTCTAGATGTGAATGGTATCAGGCCAATCTAGATGTGAATGGTATCAGGCCACTCTAGATGTGAATGGTATCAGGCTACTCTAGATGTGAATTGTATAAGGCCAACCTACATGTGAATGGTATCAGGACACTCTAGATATAAATGGTATATGGCCACTCTAGATGTGAAAGATATCAGGCTACTCCAGATGTGAATGACACAGGCCACTCTAGATGTGAATGAAACAGGCCACTCTAGATGTGAATGATATCAGGCCACTCTAGATGTGAAAGATATCAGGCTACTCTAGATGTTAATGACACAGGCCACTCTAGATGTGAATGACACAGGCCACTCTAGATGTGAATGATATCAGGCCAGTCTAGATGTGAATGGTATCAGGCTACTCTAGATGTGAATGGTATCAGGCCAGTCTAGATGTGAATGGTATCAGGCTACTCTAGATGTGAATGGTATCAGGCTACTCTAGATGTGAATGGTATAAGCCCAACCTAGATGTGAATGGTATCAGGCCACTCTAGATGTGAAAGGTATCAGGCCACTCTAGATGTGAATGGTACCAGGCCGCTCCAGATGTGAATTGTATCAGGCCACTCTAGATGTGAATGGTATCAGGCCAATCTAGATGTGAATGGTATCAGGCCACTCTAGATGTGAATGGTATCAGGCTACTCTAGATGTGAATGGTATAAGGCCAACCTACATGTGAATGGTATCAGGCCACTCTAGATGTGAAAGGTATCAGGCCTCTCTAGATGTGAATGGTACCAGGCCAATTCAGATATGAATTGTATCAGGCCACTGTAGATGTGAATGGTATCAGGCCACTCCAGATGTGAACTGTATCAGGCTAATCTAGATGTGAATGGTATCAGGCCACTCTAGATGTGAATGGTATCAGGCCACTTTAGATGTGAATGGTATCAGGCCACTCCAGATATGAACTGTATCAGGATATTCTAGATGCGAATGGTATCAGACTGTTCTAGATGTGAATGGTATCAGGCCTCTCTAGATGTGAAAGGTATCAGACCACTCTAGATGTGAAAGGTATCAGGCCACTCTAGATGTGAATGGTATATGGCCACTCTAGATGTGAATGGTATCAGGCCAGTCTAGATGTGAATGGTATCAGGCTACTCTAGATGTGAATGGTATCAGGCCAGTCTAGATGTGAATGGTATCAGGCTACTCTAGATGTGAATGGTATCAGGCTACTCTAGATGTGAATGGTATAAGCCCAACCTAGATGTGAATGGTATCAGGCCACTCCAGATGTGAAAGGTATCAGGCCACTCTAGATGTGAATGGTACCAGGCCGCTCCAGATGTGAATTGTATCAGGCCACTCTAGATGTGAATGGTATCAGGCCAATCTAGATGTGAATGGTATCAGGCCACTCTAGATGTGAATGGTATCAGGCTACTCTAGATATAAATGGTATATGGCCACTCTAGATGTGAAAGATATCAGGCTACTCCAGATGGAATGACACAGGCCGCTCTAGATGTGAATGAAACAGGCCACTCTAGATGTGAATGATATCAGGCCACTCTAGATGTGAAAGATATCAGGCTACTCTAGATGTTAATGACACAGGCCACTCTAGATGTGAATGACACAGGCCACTCTAGATGTAAATGATATCAGGCCAGTCTAGATGTGAATGGTATCAGGCTACTCTAGATGTGAATGGTATCAGGCCAGTCTAGATGTGAATGGTATCAGGCTACTCTAGATGTGAATGGTATCAGGCTACTCTAGATGTGAATGGTATAAGCCCAATCTAGATGTGAATGGTATCAGGCCACTCTAGATGTGAAAGGTATCAGGCCACTCTAGATGTGAATGGTACCAGGCCGCTCCAGATGTGAATTGTATCAGGCCACTCTAGATGTGAATGGTATCAGGCCAATCTAGATGTGAATGGTATCAGGCCACTCTAGATGTGAATGGTATCAGGCTACTCTAGATGTGAATGGTATAAGGCCAACCTACATGTGAATGGTATCAGGCCACTCTAGATGTGAAAGGTATCACGCCTCTCTAGATGTGAATGGTACCAGGCCAATCCAGATATGAATTGTATCAGGCTACTCTAGATGTGAATGGTATCAGGCCACTCCAGATGTGAACTGTATCAGGCTAATCTAGATGTGAATGGTATCAGGCCACTCTAGATGTGAATGGTATCAGGCCACTTTAGATGTGAATGGTATCAGGCCACTCCAGATATGAACTGTATCAGGATATTCTAGATGCGAATGGTATCAGACTGTTCTAGATGAGAATGGTATCAGGCCTCTCTAGATGTGAAAGGTATCAGACCACTCTAGATGTGAAAGGTATCAGGCCACTCTAGATGTGAATGGTATATGGCCACTCTAGATGTGAATGGTATCAGGCTAGTCTAGATGTGAATGGTATAAGGCCACTCTAGATTTGAATGGTATCAGCCTACTCTAGATGTGAACTGTATCAGGCTACTCTAGATGCGAATGGTATCAGGCTGTTCTAGATGTGAATGGTATCAGGCCTCTCTAGATGTGAAAGGTATCTGGCCACTCTAGATGTGAATGATATCAGGCCACTCTAGATGTGAATGGTATCAGGCTACTCTAGATGTGAATGGTATCAGGCCACTCCAGATGTGAATGGTATCAGGCTATTTTAGATGTGAATTGTATCAGGCTATTCTAGATGTGAATGGTATAAGGCCACTCTAGATGTGAATGGTATCAGGCCACTCTAGATGTGAATGGTATCAGGCCACTCTAGATGTGAATGACACAGGCCACTCTAGATGTGAATAATATCAGTCCATTCTAGATATGAATGACACCAGGCCAGTCTAGATGTGAATGGTATGAGGGTTCTCTAGATGAGAGTGGTACCAGGCCACTCTAGATGTGAATATCAGGCCAGTCTAAATGAGAATGGTATCAGGGCACTCTATATGTGAATGACACAGGCCACTCCAGAAATGAATGGTATCAGGCCACTCTAGATGTGAATGGTGCCAGGGAATCTCGATGGGAATGGTATCAGTAAAAGTAAAAGTAGGTTATTCCAAACATAAAAATAGAAATGAAACATTTAGAATAAATTAATAAATACAATGTGGTTATACAAGAGAGAAGTGGGTACGGTTGAGAAAATGGTATATGGCAAAGCATCTTTCTGTGCCGAGTTGCGTCCCTGTGTCAGGATCCAGTTTTTGCGGGCACGTAATCCAGGTTTGCCCTGATTATGGTCCTCACTATTTCTCCCTGCGCTAACCTCACACGTCATCACATCACTCACATGCATGATGTTCCAAGTTACCTTAAACTAGATTAAATGACATACAAGTAAGTTGGTGATTTTTGTTTAACGCAGCTTTCAACTGTATTTCAGTTATGCCACAGGATGTTCGCGTTGGTGAAACCCATGAGCAAACTGGGATTCGAACCAAGGATCATAGTTTTTACTGGGACGCATAACGGACGCAATTCCGCACAGCCCGAAGCGTTTACTAGATGGAACTCATGAACATGGCCATGGTGCTGACAAACCTAGAAACATCACCAGGACTATGCAGGATCAGAACCCCAGATCACAGGTTTCCGGCACTTCTAAGGGAGACAACTCTGAACGATAAATTTTAGGCGCCTTAGATTGCTGGCCCACCCCTGCCGCCTCATAAGAGATAATGAAAGGTGGTGCTATACCTGTCCTTGCTGGCGAAGATCCTTGAGTGGTCCATCCATGTTTTCTTCTGAATGCAACGCCCAATTTGATTTTCGGTACTGAAGTAGAGATTTTTCAACATTCTTTGAACGAATAATTGTTTTTTTAAACTATACGACTGCTCAGGACTTACAAGTGATTAATTCGATTTCATCGTTTATACTTTGAAAGCTACTGTTACTAAGGTTACTTTTGTCTCATTTATGTCATGTAGTTGCCTGGTCACCTTGAGTTGGGTCCTGGTACTAGCATCTAGATGGGCCTTCTGTTCTGTGACTCGATACTGGAAAAAGAAGAGGCTCCAACTTTTAATTTCATTTTATGTTTAAGAATAAAAACATCACCATTAAATTTTATAATAGCTCAGTTCAACTTTACACATTAAAGTAGTAAAACGCCTAATATAAGCTTTAACTGATGTCTTTAGCATGGCGTGGAGTGTACTCAATATTGCATACAAGAGACAGTGCCATTAATATCAGTCAATCCTTATAAATCAATTTAGTGACATTTTCACTTGAAAAGAGGAACATCGGAAACAAATATCACAATGTGCTTAAAATCCCAATTGGCGAATGAATACATGTAAGTGACAGTGTAAACACCATTTTCAACACTGTCAATAAAGCGTCACCCCTAATTAAATTCAACCAATCAGAAGCGCGTAAAACAACTGGTAGTGGGCAGGTAAACAGACAATGACCTTATTGACGTGAGATTGAGATTGTGGATTTCACAAAAAGATAAAAAACAGTGATTGAGCAAAATCTTTTCTGTACTTTATCTAGAATACTTTGAAGTGTTCCTGTGTTCTTCGAGACAGAATAAACACATGTGCATGACGACACGGAATATAGTAATGACCGCCATTGTGGCCCATCAATTATTGGTAACATATATCGCGCCATGCGGCGCATCAATTACTAGTAACAAATATGTCTCCGCGTTGCGCGTCAGTAAGTCCTTCTTCATCTGTCAGCGGCGTTTGAAACAATAGACCATGCAAGGTTATTATTTCGTTTGGAAAATGACAATGGTTTGAGCAGCACTGTCCTGGCGTGGTGTTCCTAGTAACTGACAGGTAGGACACACTCAGTTCGGATAAACAAGACTGTCGAACAGCGAACGTCTCACATGTGGTGTGCCTCAAGGGTCTGTGCTGGGACTGATCTTGTTCACCATGGGCATTCGGTAGGGCATTTGATATCAGAAGGGCATGTGGCTCATCGCTTTGATGCAGAGGATTCACAATTAGTTGATAGTTTCAGTCCCCTCCTCGACAATCAGATTTCATCTTTGAACAAGATGGAAAGTTGTCCAAACAATGTCAAATCCTGGATGACTGCCAACATGCTTAAGCTGAATGACGATAAAGCAGAAGCAATCGTAATCGCTCCGCCCGAGAGACAGCATAAATCTCTTCAAACCAACCTCACAATTGGACAATCCTTGATTCCTTTTTCCTCACTTGTCAAAACCCTTGGTGTATTTATTGACTCCATTCAAATGACCAACTTCTCCTGTATGTTCCAAAATACAGACCAAAGTCCTTCGGTGCTCGATCCTTCTCTCATGCTGGTGGAACGCCCTTCCTTTCAGCCTCAAAAGTGCAACTAGTATCACTGTGTTTCAGTCTGGACTCAACACATACCTTTTTGAACGCTACAACTGAATGTGTATATTTTTACTATTTTATTGTCCCCTCTCTGTTGTACATATGTACATATACTGAATTTTGCGCATTGAGCATGTCCCTCACTGATGTGGATTTTGTGCTATATCATTAGAAACGGACTCGACAAGGAGATTCTAGTTTTTTTTAGTGTGGATCCTCAATTGGCAATAAGTTCAAGGTCATCCATGTAAAGGAGGTGAGTAAGGGGTCTTGAGGATATGTGCTGAGGAGGTCCAGGATGATAACCTCCCTCTTTGCCAAGCCAAAAGCTTAAAGGATTTAATGACAAACAGAAGAGCAAAGGACTGAAAGAATCGCCGTGCAATATTCCTCTTCTAATAGAAATGGGTTCCGAATCGTAATCACCACCTGCCCCTGCAAATACATCTCAAGTTGAGTTGACCAGCAATTCAATAAAGACTTGAGTAAAACAAGCAGTCGCTCGGGGAGGTCAATACATTCTAGTGACTTCAAAATCCATTCGTGAGGTACAGTATTATTATTATTATCATTATTATTATTTACATTTTTGCCATGTTTTTCCTCAATCTTGTCAATCACATTAGTGTCAAAGGGGACAGAAAATTCAATGATATAAATGATTTCATTGGATTTATCAAAAAGGACAAGATCAGGTTTGTTGGCCTGGATAGGTCTGAGGCTGTAAATGGGCCTATTCCAAAGGATTTTGTATTTATCATTTTCCATGACGCCCTCTAATATTATCATTATTATCTGTAACATATCGCTCCAGACAAATGCAATATAAATTGCTGTCTAATGGAACTGCCACTTTGGCGAGATGTTATCATGAACATTTTATCCTTATTATGGATGAAGCTACGCACTGCTGATTTGTTGAAACGAATAAACACACAGGAACAAACACACCGTAATAATGCAGAGTGAGTTGAAGTTACGGCGTCCCAGAGTGTTCAGAGCTATAGATATAATGATAAATCCCATCCCTTCTTAACTCTTTGTTCTGTTCCCACAACTGAAAGAAAACCTCACCAGCTCAATGACACAATATGAGCTGCGAACAGTTTGCCGTGCCTAAAAAGGCAGCTACAAAGCTAAAACCATTTCCGTGTCACCGAAACTTGCATACTAAAAATTCGTAAATGGGATTTACAATTCGGATATGACCTTACCTGCAGAATTTTACCAACACAAAGACTTTAATTACAATAGCCTCCTGTGAAAGCAGTAAAACCGCTGTTGCGTCGTGGATTCATAGCTATGTTTTCATCTTATTAATATTTGGGGGACGGGTGGCCCAGTCATCCACAGGGCCGCAATTCGCTGTGCAGAGTTCCGTACCGTAGGTCTCTCAGAAATCCATGGTCGGGGGTTCGAATGTCGTGTCTTGAAGCAGACTAACCCTATTGAAGTACACTTGTATGGGGAAGAATATCTAAATCATTTGCTCACATTCTGTTCTCATAACAAAAGTAGCATTGTTTGACTATTGCATGGGTTATACACACATATTGTTTCCCGAATTATGTGCAAACAATTTTGTATTTTATGTGCACCACCCTCACAACCACTTTTTTATAAGACTGTGCACCCCTCTTCTTTTCAAACCAGTTATGAAATGGATTGGAGAGCAACTCACCTGAGTGATGATAAGAAAAAGGGCGCCACAGCCAAACCCAAACATGAATCCGATAGGTGCGATTTTCAACTTCATTCTCCCCTCACAACGAGACGTCTCTGTGCAGCCACCAGGCGAATATCCAACTGTGGTCAGGATATCAGAGTTTACAGAAATCGAAATGACGTCATATGTATAACAACATCACGACTTTGCATTGTATCCACCAGGAAGTAGACCACGTTAGCAGTACAACGTGCAAATGAATATACATTGTAGTCAAAACCCGATTCTACTAATTCGAAGTCGTTTGAGCCTACGAGTCCTGTTAATTCGAATCAAGCGAGCGATGATATTTGAAATGAAAAGTATATGTTTCAAATAGGAAATGGTCAATATAATATTGTGAATGTTGTGTGCTAGAAAGCACTCATATGTCGTTATCTATCAGACCAGCAAAACATACGTGTAGGAGTGTGTATACAGATCCGATATAGGAGTGTACAAACAGATCCGATATAGGAGTGTATATGAAGATCTGATATAGGATTGTGTATACAGATCCGATATAGGAGTGTACAAACAGATCCGATAAAGGAGTGTATATGCAGATCTGATATTGGAGTGTGTATACAGATCCGACATATGAGTGTATAAACAGATCCGATATAGGAGTGTACAAACAGATCCGATATAGGAGTGTATATGCAGATCTGATATTGGAGTGTATAGACAGATCCGATATAGGAGTGTACATTCAGATCCGATATTGGTGTGTATATACGGATCCGATATGGGATTTTAATCTTTATGTAAACAAATACAGACTCATTTTAAGCAGAGCATTACAAAGGCATTAGTTAATGCTGCGAATGATAGCAACTGTACAACAATTTTGAGACTTGTTAAACGTTATATTACCGCACGCTCGCAGGACTCTAACATCGCACCCGCAACTTGGGTAGATTATTTTAAGGAATTACTTAATCCAGTGTCAATAGGGGATGAGAATTTCTCAACTGAAGTCAGTGAGTTTCTTCAACATCATAATGATAGCTTTTATTGATTTCGAAAAGCATTTGATATGGTTGATAGGAGTAAGTTAATGTATATTTTATTGCAAAATGGTATTCATGACAAGTTTTTATGTATTATTCAGAGTATGGGTAATCATGTTAAAGCAACTATAACATACGATTATGGCAAGAAAATTACTGAGTATTTTGATAGTTCATGTGGGGTAGTTCATGTGGGGTAAGATAATTCGTTTTCTGTTTTATGCAGTTAAAAGTATAAATATATTAACACTGTAAACGTATTCACTTGAAAGTCATATACCACCTTCGAACTTTGCGAGCGAGTTGAATGTTCTATGTCCATTGGAACGAAATATAGTACGAGTGTATACCTTTTTTTATTTGGTGAAATACACGTACGTTAGGTAAATATGACTATAAAACGAATTTCTTTTTAATTCCTTTCATTCAAAATGTCTTTGGAAATGAAATCATGCTTGAAATATAGAGCTGACTTGATGGGAGATGCAACGGTAGCCAGCTGTGACTGTACATGTGGACACACACTGCACCGATTACAACATACATGTAGGATCTTTGTACAAGGAGATATATACAGGAAATGATGAGTAGCAATTCCCTGTGTAGAAAGTACATGTTTACAGTTCTGCTTTCTGAGACACACTGATGTAAGTATCTACCACAACTAACAATAAATCTATATAATGAAATTAAAAAAATAACTCTCTGCTGAAATGTGTGGTGCCAATCTTTCGATTGGGTAAGAATCGTACAATGTATGACTGGACGACTCAAATATTCATAACCGATACAGAGAAAACAGCCAGATTTTAGTCACAGCGCTATCACATGACAACTGAAAATTTTAATTAGCAGATAAATTAGGGTAGGTGACTACATGTACGTGTTTCCTATTGTATGTACTGTTATATGTATCTATGTAAATAATTTTGTGAGGTGAGACTCAAATGAACAATCTGTCTGTATGTTTGTAAATTAGGCCGACTCTGTAATTAGATACGACTTTCTCTTAGGCGAATGACATTGTGTATTCAAGAGTAAACTGTCCTGATTATAACGAGAAGATATTTTACTGAAGGCATCAGTCAATCCGCATATACAGAGAGACAATATCAATGAATTGCGGTTTCTAACATCATCTACGCGTATTCGTGTCCGCGATCATTAAGTAAATTATAAAAAGAATATATACAATATATGTTTCTGTATGTTCTAATAGCTACAGGGCATATACGGATAAGACATTATACAACGCACTAGTGAGAAAATGGGAATTATCATAAGAAGGCTGTTCTGTTTTTCTGATCAAATCTACAAGCTGCATTCGTGTCCGAATATTCACTCAATTCTGCATCAATCGGAGGAATATTATATCATCAATTTTCGAGCATCCCTGCAACCAAATATAATATTGTCGATATATGTGGTATATACCTTCAATGTAAAGTTCTACATGTGAAAACTCAAAACCCAAGTATACTTCTCGGAGTTTGTTATCACCTGTGTCTGTGACTCGGTTACAAATGATAGTGTATAACTTCTCCAGCACAATGAACATGGATGGAAATCAAATGTTCATATAAGGAAGGTGATGACAACTGAATCACAAAACTACTCGGGATATAAATGGGGGGATTGCTAACTTTTAGATCTTTCACTAGAGTGTAATAACCACATGTATACCTTGTTTACACACTATTTACACACGCATTTAACTTTATTAAATATATTTTCTCTTGAGAGTTGACCACAGTTTACACATTATAAATGTACATCGTGTTGCCACACTGCCACATTTGCCACACTGAATTGATCATTCTGAACATAATATGGTTATACACCGGTTATCAAATAGTACATGTAATGCACTTCATATTGTTATCAAGGGTAACTGTCTGGCCACGCTAATCAGGACGCCCCTCCATACATGTACATTGTATGTGGTTTTTAACCAAGTACATGTACATTGTATGTGGTTTTTAACCAAGTACATGTACAATGTATGTGGTTTTTAACCAAGTACATGTACATTGTATGTGGTTTTTAACCAAGTATATGTACATTGTATGTGGTTTTTAACCAAGTATATGTACATTGTATGTGGTTTTTAACCAAGTACATGTACATTGTATGTGGTTTTTAACCAAGTACATGTACATTGTATGTGGTTTTTAACCAAGTATATGTACATTGTATCAACTGTGATATGACCAGTGTCAACGCGGTATTTATCTAACCACTACATTAGTATATCCTGACATATGTAGACAAGAGACACGATTTAAGTGGATCATAAATCAAATATTCATGACAATAAAGATATTTAGTGGCAGCATTATTATAGCAAGGAATATTTTACAAACTGGTGTTTACATGCATTTATCAAATATTACATGTACCTCAATCCTTTCACAGTATAGCATCATAGTCTACATTGTACATGTATGGAGACTATTGTCATGTGTTGACGGCGTGAAGTCCCATATAATTCCTAATTAGTGCCATAAAGCAATAGAAACGGTTTCGCAGAAATCCGCGGTTTGCAAATCATTTACGAATTATTAGCAACTTATCCGCAATTTTGCTGGAGAACACGATAACTGACTTTTGCGACGTAGTGTTGAAGTGTACATACAGACCTGATAAACAACACAAAAAATAATTATATCCGAGGTTTTACGAATAAGTGACACTCATAGAGGAAAATTCTTTTTGTTTAATTTCCTGTCCGTTTTGGTCATCTTTAAACACACACACACACACACCTGTCCCTAGTTCACACAACTGCTGTTCTCTTCTCAGTACGTATATTGATTTAATTATATTGTTCTGATATATGAAGCTGATTAAAATTAGTTTTGAGTATTCCTTTTAAACTAGAGTTTAAGTGTTAAACAAACCAAAGTCCAAATTAATCAAGTACGATAGAGAACATACCTTCAGCGTGGAGGAAGACAGCTTAATTCCTTGTCGAAGTTATGTATCCAGGCCAGACCGGTGTCACGAAATATATTCGCCCCCAGAATAAAATCTCCCCCCGGCGAATTTATACCGGTACAGTTCCGCCCCTCTCGAAATAAACTCTCCCCCCACCTACGAAATAAAATATCACCCCAGAATATCACCCCCCCCCCCCCCCCCCCCGCCATTTCGGTCGTTTTATAAATACTTGCCATGCTTGTGTAATCGGTTAAATTGTACGGTATACATTGTAGACAGACAGACAATAACTTATTAATGTCTCACTTCTGTACATACATAAAACAGCTTTGTACAAATAAACATTGATAGAATGTACAGAACCATTCAATAGAATTATGAGAGATTATTAACAGAATATCCCACTGCTAAGTATATGATAAATTGTTGAATTAACATTAGATAAGGTTGAGAATAAAGTGTGTGTTTTTTCAATACATCTTAGACTGGTGAGCCGTCTGCTCGATGATAACCAGCCTACTCATATTTTTACCCTTTTCCTCATTGTTGGAAAGTGTGTCGTCTGCTACACCAGCTGGAGCCACCTGGTAACAATTAATCACCAGCTGTCAATACACAATACATTATAATACATCAAGATGGCAGTTTCCATGTAAAGATTAAGTATTTCTAAGCAACTTAAAGATATGCACAATATCTAGATATATGTATCTTTAATTTGCATAGAATTACTTAATCTTACATGAAAACTGTCATCTTGATGTATTATTCTGTTTTGTATATTGACAGCTGGCGATTGATTATGAGGTTAAACTGTATCATCTTTACTGTTTTGATATTTTGAAATACGTTGTGGTCATCAGTTATGCAAATCAGTTTCGTTGTGTCTTTTTAACAAGGTGTTTTTCATTAAGATTCACCGCCAGCCCGATTGTAACAATTACATGTGCACTTTGCTTTGACGATGCCGGTTGATGTTGTTCAATACAGGCTGGCGGTGGGTGTTTTAGAATCTATTCTACATGCTAATCATTTCGGGAAGATGATACACATTTCTCTATATTTTGGGTTACTTTGCTTATATAATTTCCGATTAACATTCTTAGTTTTACTTTTTCTCTTTTGCTGCGGTGATATCCATCCGAATCCAGGACCTTTGCATAGTCCAGATTTAAAGTTTATACATCTAAACGTACGCAGTCTTAAAGACAAAGTTGATTTAATCAGTGCTGAATCAGATAGTTATGATGTTGTATGTTTAAAGCAAGGACTGGTCGGCTCGGAGTCAGTATACAGTAAACTGTGGCATGGTATCTCAGTGAGCTAGCACTATATATCGGCATCAGTCCGGACTAGTACAAGCAGCCACACACACACACACACACGTGCATGCACGTCGCTATATAAGTGCAATAACCTTGGACGCGACGTTAAACCCAATTTCACCTCACCTCACCTACACTAACACCATTTTCAGATCGTAGCCTGTATTAAGGAATATATTTTAGATCTTAAATCAGAGTATAACGGACAGCGTGAGCTGGAGGCGCGCGTGGATATGTTGACAGTTTTTACGTAGTTAGTGTTAAAACCGAATGTTTGCGAGGATTAATAAGATTTCTGAATTTCAGTTACGACAGTAACCGTACATATATTTGTCACATTAAGTCATTTCATTCAAATTTGTTTGGTATGATTATGTCTTATAATTATTTTAGGATGGAAGGTACAGTTACCAAATAAAATATGCTGAAATATCAATTCATTATGACCATATTTCATAATCTATATTTTAAAGTAACCCGCCTTACATTAAAGATAATTATTTAAAGAATATAGTACTTAAAGACATTGCAACAAACCGAATAATCAGAGGGGAGACTTTATACTGAGGGGGGCGCGAAATATATCCGCCCGGGGGAGATTTTATTTCAGAACAGATTCTCCGGGGGAGAATCTGTACCGGTACAAAATCTCCGGGGGGAGAATTTGTACGGGGGAGAGTTTATACCGGGACGAGGTTTTACGAATAAGTGACACTCATAGAGGAACATTGTTTTAGTTTAATTTCCTTTCCGTTTTGGTCATCTTTAAACACACACACACACACACACACACACACACACACACACACACACACACACACACACACACACACACACACACACACACACACACACACACACACACACACACACACACACACACACACACACACACACACACACACACACACACACACACACACACACACACACACACACACACACACACACACACACACACACACACACACACACACACACACACACACACACACACACACACACACACACACACACACACACACACACACACACACACACACACACACACACACACACACACACACACACACACACACACACACACACACACACACACACACACACACACACACACACACACACACACACACACACACACACACACACACACACACACACACACACACACACACACACACACACACACACACACACACACACACACACACACACACACACACACACACACACACACACACACACACACACACACACACACACACACACACACACACACACACACACACACACACACACACACACACACACACACACACACACACACACACACACACACACACACACACACACACACACACACACACACACACACACACACACACACACACACACACACACACACCTGTCCCTAGTTCACAAAACTTCTGTTCTCTTCTTAGTACGTATATTGATTTAATTATATTGTTCTGATATATGAAGCTGATAAAAAATAGTTTTGAGTATTCCCTTTTAACCACAATTTAGTGTTACACAAACCAAAGTCCAAATTAATCAAGTACGATAGAGAACATACCTTCAGCGTGGAGGAAGAGAGCTTAATTCCTTGTCGAAGTTATGTATCCAGGCCAGACCGGCAAAGCTACAGTGTGGCTCAGCGATTGCGTGGTCACCGAACATGCAAGATGAAAATCAATGTGCGGCGTTGCATTGGGCTTTCAAGCTATTGCCAAAAAAACAATTACAGGTGACATTGTTAAAAGTTCATAGTTCATAGTTACATAGTTCTTAACAATCAGTGGGCACATCGTGGTATTTGAAGATAAAAAATGATAACTTCATACGTCATACTTATATTTGCACAGTAATTGAGTTTATGCTTTCATTGGCAGCTTCAAGATGTTGAATGAGATATATTGTCTATGATTAATATCAATGAGAGAACAACAGGAACTACATAGTCGCCTTTTATGGCAAGCATGGTTGCTGAAGACGCATTCTCCCCCGGATCTTCACAGGTTGTGGTCGATATGTGGAGGCACTGACATGTAGTATTAATGATGATCTGTAGGTGGAGACACTGACATGTAGTAGTGATGATGATCTGTAGGTGGAGACACTGACATGTAGTAGTGATGATGCTCTATAGGTGGAGACACTGACATGTAGTATTGATGATGATCTGTAGGTGGAGACATTGACATGTAGTAGTGATGCTGGTCTGTAGGTGGAGACACTGACATGTAGTATTGATGATGATCTGTAGGTGGAGACACTGACGTGTAGCAATGATGATGATCTGTAGGTGGATACACTGACATGTAGTAGTGATGGTGGTCTGTAGGTGGAGACACTGACATGTAGTAGTGATGATGCTCTATAGGTGGAGACACTGACATGTAGTATTGATGATGATCTGTAGGTGGAGACACTGACGTGTAACAATGATGATGATCTGTAGGTGGATACACTGACATGTAGTAGTTATGGTGGTCTGTAGGTTCAAAAGCTGACTTGTAGTGGTGATGGTGGTCAGCAGGTGGAGACACTAACTTGTAGTAGTGATGGTGGTCTGTAGGTGGATTCACTGACATGTAGTAGTGATGGTGGCCTGTAGGTGGAGACACTGACATGTAGTAGTGATGGTGGCCTGTAGTTGGAGACACTGACATGGTGTGGTGGTGGATGTCTGAAGGTGAAGACACTGACATGTAGCAGTGATGGTTCTCTTCAGGTGGAGACACTGACATGTAGTAGTGACGGTGGTCTGTAGGTGCAGACACTGACATGGTGTGGTGATTGTGGTCTGTAGGTGGAGATTCTGACATGTAGTAGTAATGGTGGTGTGTAGGTGCATACACTGACATGGAGTGGTGATGGTGGTCTGTAGGTTGAGACACTGATATTTAGTAGCTATGGTGGTCTGTAGGTGGAGACACTGACCTGTAGTAGTGATAGTGGCCTATAGGTGGAAACACTGACATGTAGTGTTGATGGTGGTCAGCAGGTGAAGGCATTGACATGTAGTGGTGATGGTGGTCTGTAGGTGGAAAAGCTGACATGTAGTAGTGATGGTGGTCTGTAGGTGGAGACACTGACAAGGTGTGGGGTAGGTGGTCTGTGGTGGTGAAGCCTTTCTGTAGGTGGAGACACTGACATGTAGTAGTGATGGTGGTCAGCAGGTGAAGGCATTGACATGTAGTGGTGATGGTGGTCTGTTGGTGGAAAGGCTGACATGTAGTAGTGATGGTGGTCTGTAGGTGGAGACACTGACAAGATGTGGGGTAGGTGGTCTGTAGTGGTGAAGCCTTTCTGTAGGTGGAGACACTGACATGTAGTAGTGATGGTGGTCAGCAGGTGAAGGCATTGACATGTAGTGGTGATGGTGGTCTGTTGGTGGAAAGGCTGACATGTAGTAGTGATGGTGGTCTGTAGGTGGAGACACTGACAAGGTGTGGGGTAGGTGGTCTGTGGTGGTGAAGCCTTTCTGTAGGTGGAGACACTGACATGTAGTAGTGATGGTGGTCAGCAGGTGAAGGCATTGACATGTAGTGGTGATGGTGGTCTGTTGGTGGAAAGGCTGACATGTAGTAGTGATGGTGGCCTGTAGGTGGAGACACTGACAAGGTGTGGGGTAGGTGGTCTGTGGTGGTGAAGCCTTTCTGTAGGTGGAGACACTGACATGTAGTAGTGATGGTGGTCAGCAGGTGAAGGCA